CAACTAAGCAACCTACAATTCAAAACTGCATTTCTAAAACATAAGGACTTTAATTATGCGGTATCTATCTGCTTAGGTGGTATGCAATCATAAAACTATGTGTGAGATTAATGCAAGATACTTAAGCTTTTACATCTGTAGTATACACTGAAATGACACATCCCTGCTTTCTTTGAGTGACTTAGACAGATATTTACATTTTGGAATCGGCATTATGTTACCATTTGGACACAAGACTGTGTTAGTTAAAAGAGCAGAAACTGGTTCTACAATGAAACGTATGCTAGCTGCCTTCCTCTCATCCTCCAAGAGCACAGACACTTTCTTGTCCATTCTGGGACACACTCCATTCTGAGAGGGTAACACAATATGTGGAAATGATTCTACACAATACAACCTGCATGTTCTTCATCTCATAAGCATCAATAAAATACAATCACTCTAATGCTGGACACATATAGACTGTAACCTCTTTTACCTGAAAATATGAACGAATAGTAAATTTATGTGATAGAAATAACACTCTGCCAGGAATAAAACCTCAGTGTATAGCAAGAACATCAATCAGTTGCCTTTTGTTGCCTCATGAAATGGAGACCATCTTAAAGAACGTCTGGCCCAATAGCCAGCACTCAGTGAGCGCCCACTCTTCTATCTCTACTCTGGATAAATTAGTTACAGAAAGAGGGAGCTCTAATCTCCATGATTCAAGAAGAAAACCAAGCAACTTTGCTGCTTATTTCTGTGGTTCTACTGGACAGAATTGACATAATCTGGATTTCATATGTAGAGTCTTTAAGTTTTGATCTGTCTCATTTTTGAGTGCTTATTATCGTCGCTATTGGTTTTGCAGTAGATTTTAAATTGCTAAAACTTCAGAATAACAAGACTCCCCTTTAGTCCCAGAGTCCACCTCCTGCATGCGCAACTCTGATGCAGCCCATACATGATTTATATATTGCCACTACTTTAATACGACTGTAAAGCTAATTCTAAGAAGGATGGCTGTCAGCAATTAGAAAAACAGCAGTATAAGGTATGGATGATTATATTGATGTGTTATCAGAGCGGCGAGCCAGAGGCAAGGAAATGAAATACCTATCACCTCAGCCAGAAGGAACATACATACCCAAGAAAGCTTGGGTGCTTTCTTATCTTCATAAACAAAAGCCCAGAAAGTAAATCTTACACTTCAGAGATGGACAGATTCTTTTTTCTTACCTTCATACTATAGAGAATGAAACTTTACAAAAGAATCATATGTATAAATTCCTTTAGTGTGAGTGTTGTAGAAGTAAGTTTTAATCAGTAGAAGCAAGTTTAATTCAGTAGTTCCTGAAATTGAAGTTATAATTGTTGCCATTAAAACTTTTAATTGTGCACTTTGCAATTGGATTTATACTGTTATTATCAGTGTTGGAAATGGTTCTTAGAGCAGCACACATACTATACTACTATAGTATAATATATACTATATACTACAGTATAGTATAGTACTATAATCTACACAGCCGGTCAGACAAAACTGCAACAGTATCAATGATTATCACCATAATTGTCATTATGACTGGATTTCCATAAACCACTTGCTAGAAAATTAAACATTTTTTCCCAAAGATATCAAAGTACATTTTATACATACAGCCCTCCGCTTCAACAAAAAGCTGGGGCAGCCCCTACACAGGCTCTAGCAAAGTAGATAAATCATATGCAAAATCTTAACAGTTGGAGGAAAAAATGGAAAAGTATAACCTCAGCATTCCGTTAGCACCATTTGGCAAAGAAACTCTTCGAAGTGCACCAGAGAGCCGAGCACACTTTCTGCCAACACACTACAGACCTTTTTCTGTCCTGTCCTGCAGAAAACTCTCAAGTACCAAACACCACGTGGAGCAGATTTCTGCATGTATAGTCTAGAGCTTCAGAATGGGAAGGACAGTCAGGGAGGACACAGGGTGACATCACAGCTTCACAAGTTCTTTAAACAGGCATAAGAAGCAGAGCAGCCCTTCTAACATCAGCAACCCCTTGCTGCCCGCCTCCCCTGTCCCAGTAGTGCCAGGATGGACAATAAATGGGCAGTTTAGGGGGGTTGTTCATTAGTTTGGTTTGAGGACAATGCCCACTATCAGTGCTCAGGGAACTGCAGTGTAAGTCACTGCTAGACACTGAAGATGGAGTGGTTCTGTGATTGCACCTTCACATCTACAATAGAACTACCTGGGTAAAGCTCCAGAGCTGCTCACACCCTGGACAGGAGCAGAAATTATATGTGTGTGGCCAAGGAATTACTTTCTGGGAGGCTCAGATCAACAGTAAACTAGCTCTCAGAAGAGATCCACCCCCAAATTCTCATAGCTTCAAACTACTAGACAACATGAAAACATTCCATTCCTTTTTAAAACATGCACAAGTGTGACTGCACAAAATAAGAGGCATTGAAGTCAGAGTGTGGAAGATCATCTGAATGTTGCCATTTTAGTTATCTTACTCTCACTTTGGTGCTAAAAATCTGCAGTCCTACCCAACAATCTTATCCCTCTATGTAAATCTTTTTAAACTAAATGCCTTATTCAAAGCTTACTATTGTTAGCAGATATCGAATCAGTACAGCAATTCGCCATAGGCGTATCTTGATCTAATTATGTTCTGGAAAGAATCGAAATAGATCTAAAGAAAATTCAGATAATGAAACAGGCAAAACAAGAAAGGGAATGGAGGAGCATAAACAAAAGATAAAAGAAGAACACAGAATGAAGGATAAAGCTGTGAGATACAAAAAATAGGATTAGGTGATAGGGAAATTTGTGTGTGTGGTGGTGGGGGAGTGGTATCATCAGAAACATCCCATAAGGGAAGAGAAAGACCAGGGATTCAAAATGTTATCATCTGATGCATGCTAGGAAACTCAATGACATTTGCCAAGATGTGAAAATTCTGATTAAAAGTCAGTTGATGCATCTAATCGGAAACCTATGAACAGCTCATAGTCATTTGTAGCACATCAATAGATTTCACATACAGTTGATAGTTGATGCACAATGTATTTAGAGATATTTAGGAATTTAACGGCTAGAATAATGCTCATGCTCACTAAAAATACTTTTTTCTAGAAAAGAGAAGGGGAATATCTTCCCTCTCTTCAAGTACACAGATTCCTTTAATACTAGAAGAGATGTGTCAATATGAATAGTGTAAATATTATCAAAATGCCAAGGATTGAATGAAAAGCCACACTTTTGTAAAGGGAAACAACTCATTATAATTTGCACCTCATTTGCGTGCATATCCCCTGACAAATATTCACAGCAAAGAAGCACATCTAAGATGAAAATATGAGGCAGACTGCACTCCAAAGACTGTAACTAGACAACTGTACAGTGACAATTCTCAAGTTTACTGCTGTCAGGCTAATATCCTAATAACTCCTAATAACGACACATACAAAACATCTTTAGAATTATCTTTCTTAGTAGAAAGGCTTACATTACTCCAAAGCACTTGACAGGCAAGCATCAGGGAATGATGCACTTAACCAAAACTGCCACCACCAAAGGCAGACTACTACAGTAGCAGTTTCAGGGTAAGGAATCAAAACTTTCAGGCACATAAATGCTTTCTTCAGTTTAAAATGAAAGTCAACAATATCACTGGGTCTAATTAAAGAGTTTTGCAGTCATTTCTTTTAAGCTTCTGGCACCATCACATTTAGGATATTTAATTATCTGCTTCATACAATGCATCAGTTTGCAATGGCCACCAGATGAAGAGATCTCTTTAAACCATTCCACATGTAGAGAGTGGGAAGAAGTTCATTAAAGGGTCAGTCTTAATTTCTCCCATTAGTTGTAAAATCACTTAAAATCATCAGTAAGAGAAAAACTCTCAGATAAGAGCTCAGTTAAAGACATTCTATTTAAAAGGTGTACTAAGCCTGAAATTATTCCCTTACAATTATTTAATTTGACTGTATGCCTTAGTTTTAGAAGTTAAAATGAGATTTTTTAGAAACTGAGAAGTTAGGGAATAAACATACACAATTCCTTATATATTGACAATACATCAAAAAATATGCTCCATGGATAAGTATCATTTTAAAAACAGACTGAAAGACAAACATTAATATTGGAATAAACTTTGTCTTTTTTTTCTTATTTTATTTTAAGAAGATCTATTACTCAGTTACTAAATATAAGAAACTGTTACATTTTCAGACAGTAGTGGAATTCCTGTAAAATAGCAGGGAGGGTTAACAGCATACATAAAAAGTTCTTTTAAAAAAGAAAAACATATGAACTATCAGCAAGGTGGGGTTGTCTGCATGGTCAGCCCTTCATTTGAATGCAAATGTAATGATGAGGCAGGCAGTTAGGCTGACGTCAGGCAAGATCTTGGTAAACCATTACCACCAGCACCTGGTAACACAGTTGATAATAAAAGAGGATGAAGTAAAAGATTTCAAGCAGAGTGCCATTATAAGAGAAAACTAAACACAGAATTCTTTTTAAACAGCAAAAGAGAATTCAGAGGGTTTGGGATGTTGTGACAACATATTTACAATCTGCCAATCATGTATGTGAGCTCTCTCTTGGATAAGGAAAGCAGCATGTATCCAGGATCTGCAAGGAGTAACCACAACCTGCCCGTGCAAAACATTGTGTCTACTCCATCCTATCCAGATTACATGGGATATCATCATGTGCCGGCTCTGGACAATCACGGCCAGCCTGCAGGGCCATGGGCACCTCACTACGGCCCACAGAGGGAGGACTGGACCGCTTATGGCCCGGGACCCTCCAGCACCACCGCTGCTGCACAGATCAACGGCTCCTCTCCTGGCCAGGTCTCCTACAGCTCTGCTGATTACAGCTCCCTGCATCCCACCGCAGCTGGGGGGTTACCTCCCGCAGACGCACCTAACACCCAGCAAATCTCTCCCACCAGCCAACGGCACAGTTCTTATGAATGGATGCGGAAAACGGTGCAAGTTAACACCACTGGTAAGTGTACAATAAGCTTTCTTCCTCCAAAAATATGTTCAGCTATCACTAATTTTATAAATAATTAAATTTACTTGAAATGCATAAGTTGGCCAGTCATTTATTTAACTTAGTACTGTTTGATTCAGTTCTAACTAAACTTGCACTATTTTAACTTTCTCCCTATAAATGTTTTATACAGTTACTATAGTGGAATGTCAGATATATTTGGATATGGCTCCATGAGACTCAGCTTTAGCAGTCTTCATTCTAATACTGTTGGTTAGAAAATACAACAGGTTTCAGAATATTAAGAAACACTGAATGCAGCAACATTACATGCAGTTATATGTAAAAACAGTACATAATTATTTTGTGTAGTTAGTTAAATATTAAGAGAAATAAGTGGATCATTTAAAAAATCTTTATAGAAATTTCATTTTTTTTAAAGAGAAGTTTGTGCTACTATCAAACTATAGTGATTATAAAATTTACTGTTACTCTTATTATTTTTTCCTTTTCCTACATAAATCTCTTACGTGAGAAGATATATTTCCAGATTAGTCGCAGACTCTATTTGTTTATTTCTCAATGAAGCTTCCTTTTCATTAAGTTTCATATCTGTTTTTATAGTATTTTGCTCATGTATCAGAATTGTGCAGTCTGCCACAATTGGACAATTCCAATTCACATTGCTCCAAGTGCTGCTCCTTGCTGTGCCCGTTTCTGACACGAGCTGCATGCCAGAGGAGCCTTTCTGCCTATACCCCTGAGGTGTAAATTGGGTGTAGCAAGGTTTGCTAAATCCATTGTTAAGGATAAAAGTAGTAAGTGTGTGTTAGAGAGCATCAAAGAAAATGCGCTAAAGAAAGAATGGCAGTCACAATTGAAGGAGCAATCTTGGAGGTCACAGAAAATCAGTCTGGTCACTCGAGAACAATCATCCTTCAAATGGTTATCACTCCAGAGCAAGATTAGTTTTATAATTGATTCTTAGTTATAAAGCAGATACACATTTTTTCCACTGTCATTAAACATAAAATCCCCAGTGAGCACTACGATTATTTCATGCTTCCACATGCAGTTTCCACAACTTCTTCAAAGCCAGTCAGATTTATAATCTTTTTTTTTTTTTTTTTTTAAGTATACTCATGTAAATCAGCAGTAACTTCATTAACATCACTGTAGTTTTCCAGGTGTAAAAGGTGATGCAGACCTAGCCGTGGACCAAAATCCATTGCAAATACTCTGAATGTCAGTGGGACTACCCTGTCTCCATTGAGCTGTCAGTGAAGTCAAAATGTGTTAGTATTTTGTAAGAACTAAATAGATCTGAAATCTAAAACCTAGCTTCGCACTAATTGCATAGACATGGAAGACACTCCAAGCTTCACACATGCTTGCTCAACTTCATGAAATGTAGAAACATTTCAGAAAAGCATCTCTAGTTTGAAAAGCACAGGCACCCACGCTGAAACTTATACACCTGCTGAAATACATTATGAGCAATACTGGACAGTTGAATTGGAACCTGTCAGTATTTCAATGTCCTGAGGCTTTATATGCCTAGAGCCCAGCCTTCTGGAGTGCTAAAAACAGTTCAGGACTTCACAGAATTGGGCTCAAGACACAAATCTGCTTAAAAACAAAACAAACAAACCATTTGGGAAAGTAGAACCAGGAGAAATATTAAATCAATTTGCATACTTTCTGGAGATCTTTAAAATAATGTTAAGTGTAAAAAAGAGGTATAAAGTTCTATGTAAAGCAAAGCAATGTAAATAACTATAACAGACTAAAACTATGCAGGTAACAACTAAATGTTAACTTACATCTATCCAGATCTAGAAGATAACATTAAAAACTTTTTCCATGTACTATAGCCACTCTTTGAAACACAGACTTGCTCCTTGTTTTTCTTTACCTCTAGAATATTATAAATGCTATTTAAGCTATGTATCCTATGTATTTACACACAAATATGTATATATTTAATTTTTTTGTGGTGTGTACTTAGATGGATGTATGTGAGCATCTTGGAATAACAAAAATCAAAAAATATGTAAATGGGGGAGGCCTACTTAAATACTATCCTAGGGATAATGAACATTAGGTTATCGGGATAAATTTTTTTTTCAATTTACACTATATTAAATACTTCATATTTTGCTCCATTGTATTTGCCATTTTACATAAAAATTGAATTGAATTGAAAAAAAGAAACCAAAGTTTACTCAACAAAAGCAATTCACAGGATGAAATAATATTGTTAATGTAGAAATACACTTTTATGTCCTTTCAACAGATAGAATTTACTCTGAAATTTTGATGAATATATTCTATTACAAAAAGACCACGACTGTATATTTAAAAACATTTTTTTTCAGACGTACAGAAATTACAGGCATGTTGGACAACAAGAAACTTTTAAAAACAAACATTCAAAGTGGGCATCATAGGAATGTCTTTCAAGACCAGCTACCAATGCCAGAAGAAAAAAAAAATCCTTCTGGTCTGATCCTGTTTTCATTAAAATTAAAGTGTTCTAACAACTTCAGCTATTTCAGAGCCACAACTTGAGCCCAATTCATTTCTAAAACCAGTATAATTAATAGTGGAACTTAATAACAGAAAGCCTTATGGCACTTGTCGAAGAGAAGATAACCAGAAGTCCAGAAAAAGTTTTTTTATCTTTTCAACCTTCTATGAAACTTCATCTGGAGGTGACTCTTCCCAGAATGAGAACAAAATTTAAAGAGACTACAGAGAACAATTAGATTACTTGTGTATTTTATAAGAATAGATGTAGAATTTTTTTTCTTGGAGCTATACTCTACATACTTTATGTCTTGGTTTAAAGAGGCAGTGATGCACAAGTAATTCAGATTACATCACAGCAGAAACACTGTGATGTTAGAAAATAGAACAGAAGAACAACTATAAGGAAAAAAGCACAAGCCTCTGCTCTAATGCTAATTTATTTTGCTTTGTAGACTAGTTGTGACATCTATTTTTCTCTGGCCTACATTGTCTTAGATTTTGAGGTCTATCTGTCATATTGAAGCAACAGACTCTTTCAACACTTCTCTTTGCTTTGATATGCAGTCTTGTCTCTTCCTTCTCCCTCTTTTCTTCAGCAGTTATATTGCCGGAAAGGGTGATGATTTTCACAGCAAATAAAGAGGCCTTCCCTGAGCTTTATTGTCTTCAGAAGAAATGCTTTGTGAATTTTATGGCCAAGGGGAATGAGGAAAACTGCCCCTCTTCTCCACCCTCTCAAATCATGGTTATATTTGCTGATTATAGAGAAGTCAGAATAACCCTGTTGAATTTTAACTTTTTTCAGAAGATACTTTCTAAGCCTTCAGTTTACAAAGTACGTGAATACCCAGAATAAAGTAAAAATTATAACTAGCACTTTGTGCAAGTATTTCAAAGAGAAAAACTTGTACCTTGAGAAAGGTAAAGTGAGCCTGATTAATGTTTTAGCCCTGCAAACTTACACAGAGTATCTTTGCACACTAGAAATCGAAGTGGTACGATTTAGGAAATAATCCTTAAATATGTGTACTTCAGAATGGCCTTAGCTATATCTACCTTTGGCATTCAGATAAAATACATCTCAGTCTACCCTCACTGTTGCTCCAAACTAAAAAAATATTCCTTCATCTACTTCTGTCCTCTTTTTTTCCTCCAAAGATGAAAGAGTTTGACATTTGTTTAGGGCTTGTAAATTCCAAACCAATTGGCTTGTGTTTCTGAATGTGAAGAGTTCCTGATAAGATCTTCTTGTCGCTCTTTTGTGTGGCGTGTGCTTCATCTTAACACCTCAATGGATTTTAGGGAACCACTTTAAAGGAGTCTTTGTCCTACAGTTTGTCCCAGAAAACTCACATCAAAAAAAAAACTGGGAAGATCAGAAGAAAAAAGGAAAACTATCCAGTTGACTGTTGAAAGTGCAAAAGAGAACAAATAAGAAATGAGCTCTCTGTATTATTATCAGATGAAGAATAGTTTAAAACAAATAAGCAGAAAAAGAAATCTTGCAACATCAAGTAATATTTTATGTTAGCAGTATTCATTCAACAGAAGAATATTTGTTTTATCTACTAGAGATAAGACGATATTAAAATACTTCTGCGAGTACTTTATTGCCTAGTCTTACAAATTGCCAAGTGCCTTCAATTCCAAATGGAAAGTGAGCACACCAGTTACCCCAATAATGGCTCAGCAGGCACTTACCACCTAACAAGACAGGATCGTTTTGGAAAAAAAAATCTAATTATTATTGAACACATAAGCATGTCCTACAACCAAACAAGAGAGCAAACACATTTCTAACGAGATGTTTGAGTTAGAGATATGTGACTTAAAATCTCAAACAGAGAATTGAGACAAAGTCCTACTGAATAGATCATAACTGAATTTCAGTCTAAAAGTTACTCCTGGAATTCAGTCTGGGTTACACACAGAAATCATTTAAATGATCACTGAAATGAAACCCACGTGAACTCAAATATAGCCAGTATCTATTATGTACTGCTGTGAATTATTTCTTATAAGATGTTGCTGGATGTTTTTAGCTAAAAAGCTTTCTATTTAAATGTATATTAAGAGAGAGACAGAAAGAAAGAGAAATTATGTCAGTCAATACTTTATTACATTTGGGAAAACTACTACTTCTCTCATATGCCCTCATCCAGCAAACAATCCCATGTGTACTCAGAAGTTTAATAATGTCTGTAAAATGTTTGATGTGTTTGAAAGATGCTACAAAAAAAAATCAAATTCAACATTCTTAATAATTTTTTTTTCTCAAAACAGGTAAAACAAGAACAAAAGAAAAGTACCGAGTTGTTTACACAGACCATCAGAGACTAGAATTAGAGAAGGAATTTCATTGCAACAGATATATTACGATAAGGAGAAAGTCAGAACTTGCAGCAAACCTGGGACTATCTGAAAGACAGGTACACAGAGCCTGCCCATCATTTGTACCCATCCTTTCACCAGACACTGGTACTGGCAGAGGAAATGCACAGTGTTCATGTTATGCACCAACGGCAGTGCCAAAGCTGCCATGACAGTTTGTGAGGGTATGAGACACACGGAGAATACAAGTTGTCTAATTTGACAGAAAACTGTAATTTTAGGAAACAAGAGATTAGGAATTATTTTGTTATTCTTACTTCCACAGCAGCTTGCTAGACAGCTAGAATTTAAACAGTCCAGCTCTTATTGCTGTAACTATCGTCATAACTATATGAATATAGCTGAGTCCTCCTCACAATCATACAAAAAGGCGGCCAGCAAAGATCCAAAGCACTAAATACATTTCATCTGCAAGCCAGTAGAATGAAAGTCAGCATTCAAGGAATAATCAAATGAAGGATCTGTGTATATTTTAATAGAACTTTATTACCACTGTTTTCACAGGCCACATTCTTCCTCAGTAAGCGAGACCACCATGATTTAAGGAGTCCTTTATACCCTTTGACTTTTCAAGCAGTATTTTGTTGTTGTTACTTTCACAGATAGCACACTGAATATGTGCAGTTTGCTGTAGGCCATAGGATTTGGTGCCCAAACTTTAAGCCTGTTATGCACGTATAACTTATGCTGTTACGTATATAACTGTTATGCACTATGCATGTAGTCAAGACAGGAAATGTACAAGTGCATACTTAGATCCACTGCTAATTTGGACAGGACTCTGTCTAGTTCTCTAAAACACTCTTCTCTTTCACGATCTTTTCTTCTGCATTAAGTCTCTGTAAGAACATGAAACAGAAAAAGACCACCTGAGGTGAGAAAGGATAAGGATTTGCAGATGTGCAATTATATTTTTGGATCAGCACTGGATTTTTATAAATACATATTTTAGTGCAGTGATGTTCACTCTCAGATCCAATCAATGCAGAGATTATAAGTTACCTCTGAAAGGCCCACTGGAAAATACTTGCAGAAGTACAATTGTGAAACACTGAAAAATCCTGCTTTAATGTTGTGCAAGGTGGCTGATTTAGAGCACAAATATGCCTGCAGTAATATTAGTATTGCCAAAAATCAGTAGTTACTTGCCTTTTACGTACTGTTATTTTTCTCTCTCAGCCTTCTAACTTTTGACTAGTAAACTACCTTCAAGTAGAATGTGGACAAATCATGGAAATAATCTCTATACATGTCTACAGGGCTCATGACTGACATGGCTAAATGGTTTTTAGCATCATTACCTGAAAGGTAATGAAATAATAAATGTTTGAAAAAAAAAGAGATTTTTTAATATAAAGTAATAGTACGTCTTTCTATTTAATCATCTATTCAGCATAACTTAAAGGATGCAACACAAACAGTAAAATGAGAACATAGGTAATAAATGTTACAAAAATATAAACGGAGTCTTCCAGATCTAACAAAAGAAATGTTTTCTATTGTTTGTGACACAGAAACTGAATACAGAGCAAATAAATTCTCTGCACAAATCAATACTGTTTTTGCTATATTTTCATTGCTACTGTTATTGTAACAAGTTGACTACTACTACTTTGGATTAATGATACATTTTTTCCAACTATGCAGGTAAAAATTTGGTTCCAGAATCGCCGAGCCAAAGAGAGAAAAATGATCAAGAAGAAAATCTCTCAGTTTGATGGCAGCAGCGGCTCAGTTCAGAGCGACTCTGGTTCACTCAGTCCAAATGAAATATCTAGTTCTCTGTTCCCACCACCACATGGAATAGCTTGTTGATGTTCATCAAGTCATACTTTCAGAATGAACAGAAAGGAAAAAAAAAAAAAAAAAAAAAAAAAAAAAGGAGGGGGAGCAATAGTCAATTTTCTCCCTAGTTAAAAATTCAACATTGCAAAAGACCATCCTCATTCCATGGTCTCAGAGTGCTGATTTCTATGTACAGGACTTGAGTTTATTATGAAAGTATTTTAATTATTACAGAAATCTCAGGGAACTCTTGCTGCTAAGATTCATCACTCATCATCCTTGAGTAGGAAGTGACTTGCTTCAGATACTGACAGAAGGTTACAAAAGATGATTCAAGTAAATGTAGTTCTAGACTGATTGTATATATGCAGAAAATTGTCACCGGACTGATTAAAATACAGTACTGTTTCAGAGAACACAAGATGCTGGGTGTATTTGCTTTGTTACTTTTTATATAATTAATCTGTAGATGTTTATAAATATTTATGCTTAGAGTAGGGAAAAGAATGTCATGTTTTAAAAATAAAAACACATTTTACATACCTTAAGAAATATATTATTGGACATATATTACCAACATATTGCACTTAATTACCTAAAATAAATCTTATTTACCCTAAATAATTGAACTCAGCATGTCAAGTTTCAAAATAATAACCAGTTACATATATCATATCAAACCTGCAAGATTTGTTCACTTTTCAGAAATGCAACAACTTGACATGCACATTAATAAATACCAAACGGCCTGAAAGATGTAAATATTACTTCAGTCTTCAATTAATGCATATATTATACAAAAAAGAGAGAAGAAAGGTGGAAACAGAACTATTACTACTACCACAAGTTGAATGGTAATTTTAGACCAGCACTTTTATTTATAGTTCCCTGGTCTACTAGCAAAAGAAATCTAAAAATAGTCCGCATTGTATTTCAAATAAATGATGAAGCAGCTTAGCGTTCACAGGCAAAGTTACAACTGGAATGTAATGAAAGAAGTGATCTCTCCATAGCCATTATTTTCTGAGGAGCTATTTAAAGCTCTGCTTTGACTTTTCCATATCACATATGTAAAGGAAAACCTTCAGATGACATGATCTAACTCCTTGTATTTAATCTGTGTATTTATGAGGGTGAAAAGAAACACTAAAAGCTATAAATAACATATTCTAACATTTATTTTTCCTCCTTTGAAGACTTCTCCAGGGATTGAAGATGCTCCCTAGTACCATAAGGCAATTAAAATAATAATAAATCAAACATAATCCTTCTCACCTAGTGGATATTTTCCCCAGGCTCTCAGTTTCCTGTCTTCTTCTGTTCATGTAATCAGAAAATTATCAATCTTCAAATCACATCCTTTAAATGTAGGTGTTTAACTGGGATTATGAGTTTGCAAAGTAGTGAGCAAATTTAACATCATGATGATATCAAAAGAAAAATTCTGCTCTGCACAACTGCCTAATTCTAGCAGCCAGCAAAACCGTTGTGACATTTCTTTGAATCACCTTTATTCTTATGCGAATACTGTAGAGCTGCCAAAGTTTTGGGAACAACTGCCTTTCAAAGTCTCACTATAAATACTTAATCAAGAAGCAAGATTTTACCACAGACTGCTCATGCTGAGACTCAATGCAGTACCACAGTGATTTGACTTAATTAATTAACTTCTAAATATTGATCTGTGGGAGAAAAAGAAAGAGAGTAACTACAGATAGTTTAGGCTAGAAATGAGAAAGGACTCTATTATTAGATATTTTATAATGATGATTTACACAGCAGAATTTAGCCTTGTTTAAAATGATAGTAGTAGTAGTAATTAAGGCCAAACCAAAACCCTAGATGTGAAAATCAGAAAAGCTTTTGAGACAAAAACTGGATCTAAATTGACATTAGACATTTTCAATACAAGAAATACACATTTGTATGTTCTTGCACAACGCAAAATCTTCTCAGATATTTGTATTATAAAATCAATTTCATTAAACCTCTCACATCACACTTATCTTACCTTAATTCAACATACAAACATATCCAAATTTTCCTAATGAATTACCCATATCTATTTCTAAACAAAAGACTTTGAATTTGCAGTGAGATAGAGAAACATCTTCTTTCTGTAGAGAAACATCTACACAGGAGAAAAAATTCCACTAAATGCAAAAAATAAAACTTACAAAAATTAGCATGACCTCTTTCTTGTAGTAAATTCCACAATAATAGAGAGGATAACTTGTAACTTGGTTACAATCTCCATTTAGAAGTCACACTTTTTGTTACTGAAGAGGAAATGCTTTGGTAATGCTAACATATTGGGGATCATCATATTGGGGATAATACTCAGGTATTATCGTTCAAAACTGTAGCTACCTAGTAACTAAAAAACTAACAGTGTTGACATACATTATTTTTAAAATAAATATTGGTATTGATTTACAGATTTTGATTATTCCTCATGCCCTAATCCTATTGACCTGAAGATCCTATTGAAATTATTTGTAGTATATGGCATCATTCATTTTAGGGCAAAGATTTCATAATTTGAGAATGAAAAATACTATCACATACTGTCATAGTTCAGAGTGACTGAACACTAGATAATCAAGTTGTGAACATGAATCTAAAACCCATACTGGTCGTTGAAAACATAAAAAGTTTTAAAAGTCTGTCTTTTCAACTTAATACTTTGATCTATGAACTGAAATTGCCTAGGGCCTTATAACCTCCCTAGAGTCCCAAATATCAGATTCTGAGCAAATAAAATGAGACATCTAAAATCAACTGGAATTCAAAACACTGGCTACAGGTACCTAATATAGAGATAGATATAGAAAAGCAGATCAGTAAAAATCTAAAGATTTCACACAGTTGTTTTCTAAAGGTCTCAGGATCCTTTCAGAAATCCTGTCAGTACTACTTTTCAGGTAGCAAGTTTCACTGAATGAGACATTTCTGCTTCAAGACTTTGGCAAGAGTCCACAGAATTTCAGAAGCATGCGTTCGACGTGCTGCCATCTGGTAGCAGCAGTTTTGAAAGCCAAACACTCCAGCACCCAACAAAACTGGCTACAGTAACTGGAATAGCACCAACTACAGCTTCTCTGTCTCAAGATGAGGCTGAACTAAGATGGAACAAGAACATAATAAGGATGAGAAGGACAAAAACAAATGCTTCATAAAAGTTTTCTGTGTTTGTCACAGTTCCAATCTGAATGAGAATGATGCAGGAGTCCCAGATTTTATTACATATCAGAGGCTGTTAAAGGGAAGAGTCCAGCTACTTAGACTTTCTCCCGCTCCTCACCACTAAATCTGCATCTACTTTTAACGGAATAACTTCAAACAGTATCATCTACAGATCTGTGAAACAAGATCACACTAGTGGGAAAATACTTGAGCAGTACTTTAGAATCATAGAATGATTAGAACAATTTCATTAAAACCACAGAATCACAAAAGACTTGAGGTTGGAAGGGACACTTACAGATCATCTATTCCAACCCTGATGGTCAGGGTCACCTATAGCACATTGCCCTGGACCATGTTCAAGTGGCTTCTGGATATCTCCAAGCACGGAGACTCCACAACCTCTCTGGGCAACCTGTTGCAGTGCTCTTTTTGAAACAGAGCACATTGCTGGCTCATGGTCAACTTCTTGTCCACCAGCGCTGTTGGGTCCTCTTCAGCAGAGTTGCTTTCCATTTGATTTTAGATTTGGGCAGAGCTTCACAGTGCTGCAGATGAATAAAATTATTTCTTTTTTTTTTTTTTTTAAGAAACCAAACAAATATATATATAAAAAACAGCATTTATGCATGCATCACTATGCAGAGAAAGAAATCTGGCTAAGGTTTCAAGTAAAAAGTAAAGCTAGAAAAATTGTGCTTTAATGAAAAGTCTGCACCTTGAGCACTGGGTACTTTCATAGTAGTAAATAGTCAGAGACAAAGTATCATAAAGGGGCATATTTAACAACTGAGTATGCAAGGAAAAGCTGACATGTAGAAGAATTCAGAAATACTCAGCGTTCTGAGCAGATTAACATACAACCGCGACTGAACAGGCACCCAGTAACAGCACTCTGCACTGAGGACAACAGCAATAACATCATTCACCTCACAGGCACAGCTCACAGCCTGAGGGCTCAAAGGCACCAAAGGCTGCCTGATAACAGAATAACATACTACATTATCCAGTTTGGTTTTTAAGGCTTCCGTTTGGTATTTTTACTTTCATGGAGCCATTGATCTCAGTCTTCTTGACATCTAATTCATCAACCACATGCAACACCTAACAGCTCAGTCCCACCTAAGAGTGCTATTAGGCCCTCATACTACAGCAGAGTATGACTAGAGCAGAGCTAGACTGCAGTTTCTGCAGACTACTTTTTTTTTCTGTATATATACACTTGCATACTACTTCCAAATTTTGTCTTCATGCAGCTCTGTACGCATTCCTGTACAGTGCCAATGGAAAATTCTTTAAATATAACATGAATTATGTGCTTAGATAAGACAATTTACTGTATCTTCCTCTCTGCGGAAGACAAAGTGCAAAAAATCAGACAGGAATGTAATGCAAGTTACCAGGAGCCCAGCACATACAAACTAGCCAAAAAAACAGTTTAGTCAGAATAGATTTGAAAGTAGTACCAGGAAAAAAAAAAAAAAAAAAAAAAAAAGTGGTGGTTCACTGAATCTCTTTGAAGGATAAACATACATGATCTGACACCATCACAGTGTAATTAGCTCCTGTGTCAAGTTAATCCCAATTCCAGCCTAAGCAAATTCTCCAAAGCAGTCTGTACAACATGTAAATTGAAAGAAACAATTCTTAAAAATTGTTATTACATCACACATCATAAAAAAATTATATTGAAAACCATCTCATTACTGAGATCTCACTATATCCTACTACAAATATTTCAGTTCTTCCAGAACTTTGCACACGAGGGTATAAAGAAGTAAGCAATAAGCTAAGCAGGAAAAAAAAAAATCCACATTGAAAACGAGGAATATTTTCAATCTTGGCTTGTGTTAAATGACTGAGAAAGAGCTACCTTAAATGTGGGATCTAATATCATTTATTCTGCTCACTGATTTGAAAAAGAACATTTCTGCTGTATCAAAAATGGACATTGAAATCTCTATTGGTTCTCAAGTTCTGAATCCCCATCTTTTTCCCCTGCTCCTGAGCCAATGTTGATTAAAAAATACAATGGCTCATCCATCAAGCTTAAAATACACACTCCAAATTCAAAGAATATATTATTTTATCCAGCAAAGTATTTCTTTGAGGAAACAAGTAACTCTACAATGAGTGAACTTTGACAGCTTTCATTTAACATACAATCTGTTATTGCAAGTTCTTTCGGAAAAGTTATTGTGTGATGGAGATTTGTATGGAAGAAAGAGTGAAAAACTGAACCCAAAGAGGACTCCGTGTCCTTGGTCCCATATTATCATTCATTCTCCAGGTTCTTTCAACTATCTTTTTATTTAATACTACAATTTTTAAATTTTAATTCCTATCCTTCCTTCACAGTCTTTTTATGCTGTATGTGTGACACCTTCTCCTCCAAAAAGGAAAAAAATTTACTGAAACTTCAGCTTAACTCTGATTTTAATCTATTAAGAAGCATAAGTAGTTAAATAATACAAAGCTGATATAGTAGGATATCTTTTTCAATTAAAGAGATTTCTTGATTTCCTAATACCTCTAATGCTCATTATAAAGAGGTCACAAAGTACATTATGCCAAGCCTCTATATTTCCTCATTTGGAGATTCAATTTACTCAAGTATTTTACCATCTGCTTCAGTGCCTAACTGAATCCATGTCTTAATTTCATGAGATGCCGACTTTTGTCTGTTTAAATGTACATAATATTAACTTCGCATTAAAACATAAATTGTATTAAAACTGGTGCTTTTCAGTTAAACATGCATGATGCCACTACAATAATTCTCACTGTTGTCTGCACACTTTTTCTTACTACTTGTCTCCACCACTGCATTCTAATATTACAGGCTAAATGCTTGCAGATAAGTACATGGTTTCTTTCACTTTAATGTACACAGACTGCTTGCCTCTCATTTCGTTTCATTCTTCTAAGTTTCTCAATAGTTTCTTAGTATTCTAATAAAACTGAATTCAGGACTGAGCCAGAAACCTGGTTTTATTTTGCAGTCTCCAAGTGGGGGTGCTAAGCTCTCTAGAAAGGTTAGATCTACATCCTAAATCAATGCAGAAACTCCCACTTAAGCAAAAGCTGAATCATGACAGTGGGGCACGGTTTACTGTCCATGTGATACCTTAGACTACAACCCTTACATAGGCGGCTCTTCCACTCTCATTTTTTCATATCAATCTTCTAATTGCTCCTTAGCTTCCTGCAGCATTTGTCTGGTCTCATGGCTTAGTATTAGGCAGACCATGAGGCATCAGCTTCCCAGGCAAAGTGGAAAAAAAGAGTTAACTCCTGCTGAAGAGTTAAGTCCTGCTCAGCATGGAGCCAGTTTTGCTATTTGATAAGTGGAACATCTTAGCGGCAAACTCTGTCACTCTCCCAATTATTTATGATTACATTGAACAGCACTTAAAGCTGTTGGACTCCATTAGAAATCTTTCCCTGCTATGATGTCTTTAATTCTACCTTTTGCTTTCTTTTAATTGGTTATTAAGCTACCTAATATCCATCATCTCAGAACAGCTTAGTTTCAGCAGTGAGACTTTTAAGAAAATCAGTGTTAAAATGCTGGTGATTCCATTGATGTTCTATAGAAAATTATTAAACTTCAGAATAATTTCCCATAGGATATCAATGAAATCTCCACCATCTTCCAGTTGATTTCTTAAAAGATCCCAGAGAGAAAAGAAAAGCCACAGACTTCAGCAGACATGGCCAGTATCTCTCAATGTATAAGGTTACAGAGAAGCTGTTACAAGTCAGCATCTACAAGGCTCTTTGCTTACAAAGAGGTCTTTGCTACTGATGTACTCACAATTCCATTAATGGGAATGCTGTAAAGCCAAACCAGGTAAAATAATGATTAAGAAGTACAGAATCTGGTAGTTTGTTAAACATAAAAAGATACAAAGTATCTTTACAAACAATGCTTAATATAATTAAGAACCCTAGCTTGTAGCCCTCTGTTCAAATTATTCCTTTGAATAAAGAAGCACTTGTAAAAACTCTTCATTTATCATTTTAAAATATTCTAAGAAAAAAACACTACTGTAAGATTTACAAAATCAGTGGAAAAACTCCTACAAAGCCCTGACAAAATCAGAAGAGTTGTGGCATTGTGAATGAGAGAAGGCAATTAACTTTCCACTAATGTAATTAGCATTCTGCAAGTACAGTGCTTTCGTCACTAAGAACAGCATTTTAAAATTGTTCCACTGATCGTTCTGAACTGCTTCCAGGACTGACTTTCTTCTGCTCAGCAATTACTCCCAGACAGCCTTGAACTAAGATACTGTGTTTAGCTCCTCTTCAAAGGGAATGCTGGCCAAAAGGCCAGCAGGTTATATCCCCTGCAGTTGTATTTTAAATATCATTACCTTTCCCCATAGACATTCCACCAAAGCTGCCATGAATAAAGCCAATCTCAACTAAATATTAAAATCTATCATGTCATTGCATTGGCTTTGACTTTTCATTTCTTAAAGGTGTTCTGAGCGATGACTAACACAGTTATATCTTTTTGACTTGCAGGTGAGCTAAAGGAGCCATCCTGAATTTAACTGAGAATTAAGGCCAGCATCTCATCTGCAACCCCATACACACCTTTATTTCAGGGACTTCAAGACCTTCCCTCTGTGGATTATGAATGGTGATCATACATGTAAATGAAGATGAGCAAAAAAATAGAACCTCAGTGAAATTATTTTCACTTTCTTGACTTCTGTTGCTAAGCAAGACTTATCTTTCTAATATATTTGGCCAATGGCAGTGAAATACGTCCTGTCCCACACATACTTTCTCTGCAATTTATTCACTATACTCAGCCCTAAACAAGAAAAAAAAACAAACTTTGACAAAATGGGGAGAACATTCACAGAACATATTCTTTTTAACTAAAATATAATTTCTCCCTCAGTTATTTTCATTTCAAGTTGTTAGAATGTGGTTTACCTGTATCTCCACTTACGCTGTGAATAGTATGTGACAGACAAGTTGCAGCTCACCCTAAGATTGCTTTGAAACCCTGCTGCCAGCAGCTAAAATTTTCACAACTGGGACAACTGCTGTTGCCTAGAAAATTCTGAAAAAGAACAAACATTAATTTTGAGGGAAACTTTATCCCAATAATGGCCAAAGGGAATAGGGACCCCTTCTTTCTCTATACTCCAGTAACAGATGACGGAGGAAGCTTCCTTCCCTTTGGGAACCATGAAGCAAGAAATCAGATTTGACCTCCAAGGGCCAGAAACCAGATCATAGATGTCACTTTATAACATCTAATGACAATTTATTTTTTCTCCCTCACTCTGAATTTTATTTTTGGCTCTCGTCTTGACACTACAACCACTGTTATATTTCTAGCTCACTTTGACTTATAATAGGGGCTTAATATGATCTTAAACCTAGATTAGCAATCACTTACACTGGTGGGTGGCATTTTGTTGCCCTCAACTATTTTATTTTTTGTTGTTGCTTGTTTTTCCCTCCTTTAATTTCTGACTTTTCTCAGCCCCGGGGGCATTTTCACCCCTCTCAACACCCATTTAATCTGCATAGGACTGAGCTCCCTTTCCAGAAAGCTCCTCTTCAGAAGCCCACCACATGTTCGGGATAGCTCCCAGATCACCCTCCTCCCCTCTCCATTTTGGCCGCCAAAAACTCCCCGTGCCACCCCAGCTACACGAACCTCACACAGGTAGGCAGAGGGAGGAACAACTGCTACCTCAGTGGTTTAATTAAATAAGCCCTGGAGCTGCACCGCGATGAAGGGCGATGCCGCATCGCCAAGAGACCGCCGCGCCCTCTGCACAGCTCCCCGCGCGCCGTTAAAGGAAGGGAGGCGAAAGGAGAACGCTCCCCCCACCCTGCACGCGCCCAACGGCCGTAACGGCCACAGCGACCGCGCGGGAGGGGGCAGGCGCCGAGAGCAGCGGCGCCGTGCGCAAACCCTGCCCCGCCCGCCGCATCCCCGGGAAGGCCCCGCCCCGCGCACGTCCCCGCCTGAAGCGTCGCTGCGCAGGCGCGCGCGCCTCGCACGCGCACCCGCTTCTCCCCCCTCCCGGCGCGCAGTGCGCAGGCGCGCGCGGAGGCCGCGCGGGGGGGAGGGCGTGAGATGAGCGTGTTGCTGCCCAACATGGCGGACTTCGACACCATCTACGAGCTGGAGGAGGAGGAAGAGGAGGAGGAGGAGGAGTCCGAGCCGGTGGTGAGGAGCCAGGAGCTGCCGCGGCCCCGCGACGCGCCCGACCCCGTGGCGGTGCGGGGCGCCGGGCACAT